GTGTGTTCACATTCTCAAGTCATATGTATGTGTGCATGCTCACATGTGCAGCACAGCATGTGTTCAATGCATGTTAATACATTTACACTTTGATGTGCATAGTGTGATGACAGACCACATGGCTGTTGCGTGGTTATAGTTTCCTTCTGTTTACATACTTTGTGATTTTTCTCAATAAATTATCATGGCTTAGACTTAAATGTCTTTAAGTCAGTGTTAACGTGTGTGTGTGTTTTGTGTGTAGGTGCACAAATTTCTTTTAATATTTTACTGTAAAAGCATCAGAGGGGAATATTTTGGCAGGCCCTCAAATACTTAAAGGGCTGTTTGAGGGTGAAAGCTTTGCTTCAGGTTTCAGGGTAGAATTAGGTTTAAGCTAGCAGCAATGAGGGTCATCACGACAATAAAAGTGCTGTTTGTGTGTGTGTGTGTGTGTGTGTGAGACAGACAGCCTGAGACGGAGAGAACTCCTGACCCACCATCGCTGTAGCGTTAACACACCCCGACGTTCAGCAACTCACCAGCTGGAACTAATTAACAGCAGTTCACTCACTTTCTGTCTCTCTCTCTCACACACACACACACAAACAGCAATTTTTCCTCCCCCCCCCCAGCTTTTCCTGTCTCTCATGCCCTCATCTTCCTTCACCCTGCCACCCTTCCCTCAACCCCCACCCTTCCTTTACCTCCTGCCATCCCTCAGCTTGTTTTTTCCCTTTAAACCGCCTCCTCTCATACATGCACACACGCATGTAGTGGATCACATGTAAACATCCACATGTGCTGACAGACATGGATTTACCAGCACGCATGCTGCACAACACAACGCATGGGGAAACCCACTCCCTTGACACAGTGCAGTACAGTAGCACACAAATCACACACTTGCTTGAATTTCTCCTCACTATTATAGAAGGCACTGTCAGGGTTTGGTCTGTGATTGGATACTGGTTGAGATAGTTGGCATTCCCAGCACAACTCTGTACCATCCATCACACATGCAGTGCAACTTGAAAACAGCATGACCTATTGATGTGAACGTTTAAATAAATGGTTTATTAATAGAGTAATGAACAGGTGTGGGGATGCAATGTAACACATTCACATTACTTTTGTTGGCAAACTCATAATTCCTAAAATCAGTGACAATCAGTTGTGTCACTTGCATTAAAGAAGTTTTTTTAATTATCTAAAAAGAAAAAGATGAAGCATGCTTTTCATCTACATTTGCATAACAGCTTGCTTGACCTCAGTTACTCTCGGGGATATGAGACAATGATTTCGGGGAAGTCTACGACTTCTGAGGGGGGAGATGTACATTTCTTACTAACCATGAGTGTAACCGTCAGGTCGGTGCAAACCGCATCTATGCATGACAGAAGCAGCTATGTACTTCTGTGAACAAAACATCAAATGCTTACAAGCAGCTGCAACAGGTAACGTGTTAACCTGAAGCGAGAACACTGGATCAACAGCGATTTTCAAGCTGATTATGTGCCGAACCCAACCGAGGAGCCAAAACTTGATTTTGAACAGGTAAAAAAAAGCAGTGGTGAAGAGGTTTGTACCAGTGTACAAAGAAGAGGAAATGCTGCCTCTGCAGTAGAATCACTGTTAAAATTACATTTATCTGTGCTCTATTGGCTGATAACTTAGTAACCTTGTTAACGGCTTTGTGATATTACTTAAATATTTAAAGATAAGTTCTCTTATTGTGATAGGGAGTTGTGCTGATATCTGTCATGTACAGTTTAACATCATATTGCTAACTGCCAGATAAAGAAAAAGTAAAGCATGGTTTGCAAGACATGGTACTTTTTACAGAGTAGATACATAATGGATTACTTTTTAAAAGCATTAGGTGATGTCTAGTACAATACTTTTACCCGGCACTGATAGTGAATGAATGCATTCAAATGAGTGCATGTGCGTTTGGCAGCAGTACATTTATAGCTTGTTGCTTAATACACTGCTCAAAAGTCCGACTTGTGGCATGCGGCAACATCTAATGAATGAAATCTCAGCAGTAAACAGCTGCTACCATGCAGTCTGAGTTTACAGTGGCTGCTGTCCAGAGACACGGGCGTGCGTACAGTAACACATCTGCTCAGGAGCATGGAAACACAAAACAAACTTACCTCTTTCACAATCTCCTTGAAAAGTTCACTGCTTGGACACAAACGCAGCAACTGGACCAGTGCTTCCTGCAGAGAATCGCATTCTACTTCGAGGGGGGGGGAGAAAAGCTCAAACGCAGGATGGGTTCAGGTCCTGTCCGACAAGCTGTCAAAGGCTGCCGCGGAGCTGGTTGGTTTAAAGGAACCACAATCCTCCGGGCAGGCAGCAGAGAAACAAGAGTGTTGATTCTGTGGGCTCAGCAGCAGCAGCTCCAGCGGTTTGCTTCGTCTTCCTCTTCACCACCTATTAGAGCTCAAACACACTTGCACGCTCACTGTGCTTAGGTCATGCTCAAAGTATGACTGTTGTATACCAATGTTTTGCAAGCACAGGGAAACCACATCCTGTCACATATTTACCTCCCTCTCCTGCCTCTCCTTTCCTTTTCAGCCTATCTGTCTATGTAGTGTTCTCTCTCTTTTCCTGGGTCTTTCTCTCGCTCCCCTGTGATTGTCTGAAGCAACTGAGCGCTCTGACCCAGCGTCTGTTCAGAGCAGCCTCTCTGCCTCAATGTCTGTCTCTCCGGCAGCCGCACCAGTTCCACACGACTGACTGAAGAATCCATCTGAGGAGAGGACGGGGGGAGAAGAGATGGGAGGGAGAGGAAAGGGAAAGAGGGAGGGGGAATGACAGAGGGGAAGCGGGGAAGGGGGGGGTCTTCATTGGGAAATACCAGAGTTAGAGAGAGGGGGGAGGAGTAGGGGGAGGGGGAGGAGGAAGGGTTGTGGGTGTTGTTTAGAAAGTAAAAGACTTAAGAGACGAGGGCGGACAGAAAAAGTGATCAATATTTCGTTGGGAGAGGGAAGTAGAAGGAAACCAGTCGAATGCTGTGCCACATAGTCGATATATTCAAACCTGCATGCTGTGGGAATGACTGAAGAGTTTTGGGAGCTGCTGATAAGTTTGACTGAAATAGGGCTGCAACGGTTGATTTGTTGAATATGGATGTGTGTGTGTGTGTGTATGTGTTTGATTCTCAGCATTTCACTTGTCTGTAGTGGTTATGCATATTTTATACGTCTGGGTCAGAACCCGTTAGAGCTCTGTATTTCTTATTTAAGCTAGCTAGTATGTTGGACCCCTGTCTGGGAAACAGGAGCTCTTAGATACATAAACCATGATTTCCACAACAACAACACTGTTGATTCATGCTGGGACCGTCTGTCTGAGCATTGCCTCTGCAATGCAAAACATTTATTGACAGAAACAATCAGACAGATTTGATCGTTTCGGTTTGTCAGTAATTTAATATCTGTATTTTTCCAGGAAGTGTCATTCAGATCAAAATCTATTCTAAAAGAGAGGCAAGTGTAGATTTTTATCGAGCCTTTTTGGATAATTGCTTTCATTGTCTGGACCGCAGTCTTAAAGTTCTGCTTCACTCTAATATCTGATATTCCTGTTTTAACAACTAAAATAACTCCGTGACCAAGTTAGCAGCCGCTGAGGAAGGGCAATTTTAGAAACAACTGTGGTGTTCAAATTGCGTAATTCTGTACTTGAACTTGCTATTTTTAGTGCGCTGACACAGCGCTGCGTGCTGTTTACACAGCACTATTTAAACGTTTATAACTGGCAAAAAGCTGAATGTGAAATACTGTAAAAGCCTTACCGTCAGTGGTCATCATCTTGGCTTTGTAGCACAAGGGGAGAAACTACTAGACAGATTTTATGCATTAAGAGGAAACATTATCAGCACTAATGAGGAAGTTATAACCTATCTAACAGTTCGATCAAGCCCTGAGGACAGATGTGGAGTGAAACTTGGGGTGGGGTGAAAGATTGTCATCTTCAAGTATAGAGTATTCGATAAAAGTCAAGTTGGAACCGTTAGCTAGGGTAAGAAAAAACATCTAATGTAGCAATCATCATTTCCTGTACGCACAAAACCTGCTGTGTTTAATTTAAGATAACACAATCTTGTTGAGTCAGGCACTACACCAGTACATTCATATCGCACTAACAGAAGTGTGCAAATTTAATGAGAGAACAATCAGATTAAATATAATGTCAGTTATATTTTTATGGCGTGCATTCATGTTAACATTCCTATTTTATATGTAGGCTTACAATAAGTATGATTATTGTCGCTTTATTTTCTTACCGTAACTAACTAATGCTGACAAAAACATGTTCATTGAAGTTATTGTCACTCACGAATGAGGACGAAACAGCAAGGGCGATTTTTTCAATTTAGTTAAATACATTTGAATTCGAGAACAAGGTGTTGAGGTCACTGATTCAGAATACCTGCCGAATGAAGATTTTTTACACAAGCCACTAATTTAACTGAGTTTTGCATTTGTTTCTCAAGGTTGTGGAGAAAGCTTTGGACAAAGAGAGCTGTTTCCACAGCAGCTCTCGGGTATTAGACAAAAAAATATTATGCTGTTTTTAAGCCATGCTTGTCTCCTGTCTGTTAAATCACAGCTCAGGTTAAAAGTGGAATATTTTACTGGATGTTGGATGGATTCTGCACCACTGTTTACAATCCAAATAACTCTTTTATACCAGCTATGTAATAAATTTGTTTGAATAGACCAAGACAGCAAAAGTCGTCATAAACACTGTTACTAACCTGTTAAACATCAAACATGTTAGCGCCGTCATGGTGAGCACACAGTTAGCATTTAGCTCACAACACCTGACAATAGTGCCTGACCAACACGTTCTCACTCCCAAAGCGTAACATTTTACGCTAGGTGACAAATCGTCAACATATTACGTTTTCGGCTACCTACCACGTTCTTAAATGACGATGTCGGAAAAATGAGGATATATGAGAACCGTATGGACTCAATCTACACATGTTCGCTCTTTTTTCTTCAAATCGCTTAGAAACACGCTATTTAACATCATTAAAGTCCTGGTTAAGATCAGGAAAAAGGTTATGGTTAGGGCTAGGGATAAGGTTAGGTTTAGGGCTGGAATACAGGGCTGGAACGTCTATTACCGCGGGAGCGTCATTGCACTGGATTTCAGCCATAACCCGCCGCGTACCATAAGAACGCCGAAGGTCTCCTTTTGCGTTCCTCAGGAACGCCGCGGGACGTGACGAAACGTCGGCATGTTACGACTTGGGAGTGAGAACGGGCTGGCCTGACAGAAATGCTAACATGCTGCACACTTTAGTTTTATTAATCTGCATATACAGTGAGACTTTCATTAGAAAGAAAGCACCAATCAAAGTTTGCTGTCAAATAAATGTAAAAATTTATGACAACAGTAAGAAGTCATTTTTAGATATTCTGTAATGTATCTAACAAACTATGCTCACCAGTCCTATACAGTGCGGTCATGACATTGGGCTCTTGTCAATGTCACGTTTAGCCTGAGAGGCGATTTACTTGCTCATTTGTTAGGGAGCACTAATCATATTGCTAAGATGTTTCAAAGAAAATCAGCCTCCAGGCTGCAAATTAATGACACGTCTCTCTTAAAAATGGAGATGTCCTGCCTTTGTTTGCCCTTTAATCTCCCTTCTCGAAAGCACACAGAGATACTGCCAACACCCATATCTTAATCTGGGAAATGGGAGTCTGATTTTGGAAGGGCATTTTTCACCTCCAGAGTAAAACGGTGTGAGGGGTTGTTCTGGTAAATCATATCTTTCAAACACTGGGGAGAGGCTTAGAGCTGAAATCACAGCATAAAAGAAAGTTTAATTGTTAATTTTTTGGCATAAATTTGACTGGTTTTCCAGCTGTTTTAACTGAATGAAATCAAACAGATGCCAAAATGCTGGAGCCGCTCCGACTGGCACTGAGACTTGAATGGCACTAATGATCACCCACGGTGTAATTGTCAACATGATTTAACTTAGTGTAACAGCTAAAAAAACAGAAAGTAAAAAAAACAACACAGAAGATGACATTTACATGATGCCATCTTCAGACCTTACACTTTAGTGGTTTTATTGTTTAGGTGCCGGTTAGGCATGTCTGTAACTCGTGGGAATCTTGACCCTAATGACTAAAACGAACACACAGGTCATGCTGCAGAATGGTTTTTTCCACTGGAGAACTGTGGGACGATGGAAATGGGACATACAAAGTGAAATGAGTTATAAAGGTGAGCAGCCAAGCATAGTGTTTATGCAAGCTGTGTTTGTGGAAGCATCAGTCTTACATGACTGGCTGAGGACTTCGACAGACAGCTGATTGGATGGGAAAATGAGTGGAGCGAAACACATCAATGAAGGAACATAAATAGGTCTCCTCATTTTGTAGTAAAATAATAGGAATGTTCAATCACTGGATCTATTGTTATTACTCAAGGTTTCATTCATTTGTGTTCTGTCTTTGGTCATCAACTGCCTTCCCATATCCTCTGTAAATAGAGATGTGACAGTGCCCCCTAGTGTTCGGTGTGTAAGATGGCATTGTGTTTAGTTGAATGGTAAAGAACATAAACGTGGCTTTTTATTGTGCCCTCTTCTTTTTCATATATGTATAAAGACATTAAAAATATAGTTAGGCATAATTCTGCCCTATATAGTGAATTTTTGTTATTTATTTATTTTTAACACTGCCATCTAAATTTCACTAGTCAAGTCAAATGGCTTTATTGTCATTCCAACCATGTGCCGTGGTACAGAACACAGTGAAACGAGACGGCGTTCCTCCAAGACCACGGTGCTACATATGACATATAACAGACAATCAACACAGGACTACATAAAGTGCAAGCGTGCAAAAATAGCAAAGAACAATACAGACACAAGACAGTGCAGACACAACAGTGCAATAGAAATATGCAAAAGACAAAGACTGAGCATTGTGCAAAAAGTAACTTGGTGTCAGAAGGTATGTGTGTCAGTCCAGTCACTGAGTGTTCAGGAATCAGAACTTGCCATTTAAATTTCACATTGAAA